GTACTAGACACCTTCAGGGAATGAGCTGCTGGTCTGAGGGCTCAAGACTACACAGGGAACACCATGGTCAACTGACATAACATAATCCAATGACAATATCCTATACATCCTACTTTTGTTGAGTAGCAATGGGGCAAACAAAGGTGTTAACTACTGGTCTCTCTCTGCACAGAGAAGAGTGATGAAAATTGAAGATGCTTGGAAACAGTTAATACATTGAATTAATGGAACATGTGAACAACCATGAGACAAGAAGTAAATGGTGCCTGGCTACATTACCAACTGCTCTGAAACAGATCACATTAGAAGGTCCAAGACAGTGTGAGAGAAAACATAGAAAAAAACTCAACATTATTTAGGAAAAAAAAAAAAAAAAAGACCAGACATACTATGGTCAGATAAAGGTAGAACCCTTAAACTATGGCCCTTGGTCATCCTTCAGATCTGGAACTAAACTCACCTTTGTGGTTCAGTTTTCAGCCAAGCAGTGGACAGGTATAGCAGGGGCACAACAACACTAGTGAGGTATGTACACCATAGAATGGTCAACCATTCAAGATCAAAAGAGCATCATCTACATAGGGACAAAATTCAGAAGGCTAGGTAGCAAAGGAAGAAGGGAAACAATAATCGCAGGGAGCAAGAGGACCCAGGATTGCAGCACTGAAATTAAACAAAGTCTATGATTTGCTGACTGCAAAACTGATGATCTGCTCTATAAACCTCAATTCACAATAAAAAGGTTTTTTTTTAATTTGCTAAATTTATAATATATTCACAGATGTGTATATAATTCACCTATTCAGTGGAATGTGGGCACTAAACCCTACTTAGAGACTACCAGAAAATTACCCACAGTTTATTACCACAATTTAAAAGCTAGTAATTTAAATTCAGCCCACCCTAGCTTTAAAAAAAAGAACCTAAAATCCTCAGTTTCCATAATGAAAGGAAAGAAAGAGGAACAGGGAAGAAGAAAGAAGAATTGAAAAGCTGGAAATGTTTAAGGTTCCTTAGAGTTCTGTAATACTCTAAACTGCAACTCAATTTTTATTTAATGTTTTTGAATGATAACTATGTTCAAAGGATTTTAAATACATTTTTAGGAATATACAAGCCACAGCCTTAAATGCAGTAAGAAGCAGCAAAGGAATGAAGAATTTACTGCTTAAATTCTCAGTACTCATGAAACACATTAGGCAGACTTTTGTACAAAACACAATCTAAGTTTACTCGTGTTCTGCTCAAAAAATTTAAGAAAGAGAAATGCAAACAGAAAATAAAAGCCATCACTAATATATCTCCTTAAAAAAAATTTTAGGTATACTTTCAGAAAAAGATTGCTTATATAACTGACACAGAGTGTAGCTAACATAACATAGTATAGCCAATCTTGTGCATTTCTGGAGCTTCTGAAAAGTAAATGAGAAGTCACTATTATGCCCTTTCACTCAGATCTAGGAACTGTTATCTGTCAATAACATAACACTTCATTTCCAGACACCGCTCTGCAAGATAAACTGCCGCAACTCCTTATTTGCATATAATTTATACATGACTATTTTCTTTTTAATACTACCTAATTATGGTGTGGCATTGTGGGCTAATACGTCAGACTGCAAAGTCGTTTGAACTGCAAGGTCGGTGGTTCAAGCTCACCAACTGCTCCTTGGAAACCCTATACAGGGGTTGCTATGGGTCGGAATCTACTCAAGGGCACTTAACAACAATCATGGCTAGGACTCCTAGTGTGACGCTGTACGATAAGCAGTTAACTACAAACCAGAAGGTAGGCAGTTCAAACCCACCAGCTCTTTGGAAATCCTATACAGCAGGAGTGGGGAACCCTTGCCCTGCCAAAATTTACATCATTCTCAGGCCAAACAAAATTATCAACTTAAAGTTAGCCTACTGTATTTGATCAAACATTTAATTAAGTCGCTGCTCCTCGAAAACCCTATACGGGGTCACTATGGGTTGGAACCGACTCAACAGCATTTCACAACAACGTGATGGCTCTGGTGTGCTGCAGGTTAATGCGCTGGACTGCAAGGTCTGTTTGAATCAGAAAGTCAGTAGGTCAAGCTCACCAGCCATTCCTTGAAAGCCCTATACAGGATCCCTACGGGTCGGAACCGACTTGACGCCACTTAACAACAATGCGATGGCTGGAGTCCTGGTGTAACACTGTAGGATAAACAAGGGACCAAGAGGTCGTTTGAACTGCAAGGTCAGCAGTTCAAATTCACCAGCTACTCCTCGAAAACACTGTCAGGGTCAATATAATTCAAAACAGATTTGACGGCACTTAGCTGGAACTGCAGTTGCCGAGGCAGGGCTAGGCCAAATGATTTTGCAGACCTTACATGGCCCGCAGGCCAGACATTCCCCACCCCTGCCATACAGAGTCACTATGAATTAGAACCAATTCAAAAGCACTTAACGTTCTTAGGTGCCATCAAGTTGGTATCAATTCATAGCAACCCTATGCACAACAGAACGAAACACTGCCCAATCCTGGGCCAACAAACATTTATGATGTTGTTAAGTACCATGGAGTCGGTTCTGACTCATAGTGACCCTACACAGGGTTTCTGAGGCTGCAAATCTTTACAGGAGCAGAAAGCCTCATCTTTCTCCCATGGAAGAGCTGGTAGTTTCGAACTGCCAACCTTGAGATTAGCAGCCTGATTTGTAACCACTACACTACCAGACAAACAATTATGGCTAAGTATTATTTAGTGCTCAGTAATTTTAAGAAAAGCTAAGGGGGAGGCATCAGTAATTTATCAAGCTTATTTTCCCACTTGCCCTGTACACCTTAGGCACTACAAACATTTAAGAACAATGGATGCAGGGTTTAGTATCTATTTAGATTATACAAGAGGCAAAAAAAAAAAAAAGGTCCCTAAAGAGTTTACAAACCATTGTTTAGCTCTACCAAAAGCTTTATAAACTCTTTCTGTCCCCTTACAGAAAGAAATGCTATATAATATTTGACATTTACGAAGGGAAGCAGTATCATGTTTAAAACAGTTACCACATTAAAAAAAAAAAAAAGCAAAAACTCCTGTTTTACATTTAGAAACGTTACTTTAACAACTTGATTCTCCCTTTTGCTTTAATTTTCTTCTCCAGAGAAAATGATAAAATACAAATTCATTCAGTTCACCTATTATAAATTAAAATCTTTGCAATAATGTTTTAATACTTTCCTACCTCTTCAAAATACATGTGCATTAAAATTCAACAGGCAGATACTTTATAACACACTGAACAAAACCCTTCAGTCAGACCAGTTTAAAATGTTCCAACTATTAACTGCATTTAGATTAACAAAGGTACAATTTTAGTTATGAGATTAAGCATGCCAGAATTGGATAAAGGCTTAATTTAGAATTCCTTAATGCCAGGCACATCACTGATATTCACAACCTCAAATTTAAGAAACTAAACACTTCTGAACCTTGAAGCTGTAAATCAGTTTGACTGATGTCCTCTTTCATGCCATGTAAGCCATTGCCTAATTGAGGCCAGACCTGTCGGGCTCCAACAGCATCCCGGAAATGACTAGACTACTAGGTTGGAAACACATCAAGAATTTGGAATATTCTCATATTGAGGCAGGGGGGAAAGGCACAAGTAAGACTGTCCACAAGAACAACTGCGGTAGTGTTGCATAGGTATAAAACACATTTTGTGCTGTTGGTTGTTATTTTGATAAATCCACAAGCAATACATCTAAATTCTGTATTGATTTTTAGGTGATGGCCCACTGCATTTATCCCTCCTTCCTATACATGAACAAGAGTTTGCTACAAAATTCCCACTCTAAATGCCTGTCTTTAAATCTTTTACATCCTTTGATACTAAAAGCATCACCTTTAGCTGCTTTCTTGACTTAGAAACCTGTTAACAGTTAATGCTTGGTACCTAATCTGCTTAACTGCCTTCAATTCTTACCAAGAAAATTCACTAAATGTCGAAAATAAATACACACATACACAAACACTCAAATCCCAGTATGAAAAAATTAAGTCACATCAGGCCATCAACTGTGCAATAGACATTTCCAGTTAGCTTGTGCTTTAGTGATCATGGTCAGCGGAATCAGAGTAAGTGGTAGGGGGGCTGGAGCTGTTAACAACATACAGTGCATCAGAGCCAGTAAGTAGCAGGCCAGGACCGACAGCAAAGCAAGTCTCTAAAAGGAGCTAACACACAATATCAGAATGCTGAATTTCCGAATACCATCTTATGGGGGGCGGGGGTGAGAACTGGGAATCAAGTGCAATTAAAAGGCTTTGGCCAATGTCTGAGATGAAACCTTAGACAGAAGGTCTTGTGGCAACACCAGCTGTCCAGTCTCATCTCACCTCAAATACAACTTAATTTCAGGTCGTTCTTATCAAAGTCAGTCGCTCAAAGGCTGGGGTTGGGGGGAGGCAGAGTGAATAGTGATAGTCCCCAAGGGACAGGGCAAAGGCCCTCGGCAAAGACAGAGGCTGACCAGTAGAAAAGGGGCTTCTACTAGCAAAGGAGAAGAGCGCTTGCAGCTGCCTCCCTCTTCTTTCTAGCCAAGGCTGTTAGGTACGAGGTTAAAATGTTGCTGGAGATTTGTATGAAGGAGTGATATGAAGAAAATGGCAGTAAAGGATGAGGGAGGCTGGAAGGGCTGGAGTGACCCAAGAAAAGAGGGAGAGGACTTCCCTGGACACATTCAGGATAACAACGCCACCAGATAGCACCGGCATTACCCTGCCAGCGCCCCCATACCCTTTCTCTCTGGGAAAGCTTCGCCCCCTTCCAGAGGCTCCCAATTTCCAAACACTGCTTCCCATGCGACCCCTCTCTCCCATAATATTCCCCATCTCTGGCCTCTTTTCCTACCGCCTCAAGCGCCCCCACGCTCTCAACCTCCCCTCCCTTTCGGGTCACCCACCCTAGGACAGCCTGTCGCCAGCCTCCCCGGCAGCTCGCCCGAACCCCTCCCCCCTCACCTCTCCTCAGCGCCTCCTCGTAGCTGAGGAATCCGATCCGTGACTCCTTGGCGCCCATGCTCCCCTCATCCCCTCGGCCGGGGGTCGGAGCCTGATCTCGCCCCCACCCCCCTCCCGCCTTCTCCTCGGCGTCCCTGGGTGACGGTGTCGGCGTCCCTTAACCCCCTCCTCTTCCCCAACACTAACAAGTGCGGCTTCTGCCCCAGCGGCTCCTCCCGGTCGCCGCCACCGCCTCCATGCCGAATCACGTGATCCGCTCCCACCCCGCCCCCTTCCCCTCCCTCCTACTCCGCCCTTCTCTCTCTCTTCCCCTCCCTTCCCTTCCTAGTTCACGCCCTCGCCCCTCCCCCGCCCCCTCCCGCCAACCCCGTCAAGGGTCACCTGACCCGAGACCCAGGATTGTTCCGGGTAATGGCCGCCAGGGGCCAAACGCTCCGCCCCACCCCACGCTGACCGCGCGCAGGAGCGTAGGGGAGGAGTCGGATCTTAACACGTAACGCATCATCCCCACCCTCCCGCCAATCCGAAGTCGCGGGGCCCAGGAGTCGCCGCCTGTAAGAGCGGATGGTGACTTCCGGGGCGCGCGAGGCTTCCTTCTGGCGTTTGACAGGCGGGGTCCGAGCAATCGACGGTTGGTCGGGCAGCGACCGAGACCCTAATAGGAAAAGAATGGAACAGTGGATCTGAGGGATAGGATTGTTGAGAGCGGACAGAAGAGGAATTTCTATCCTATGGACATTTTTTATTACGGCAAGGAGAATCAAGGATCTCCTGTGATGAAAACATTCCTAATACTTAGGGAATGTAAATTTTGCATTAACGTTTAGACCTTTTCCACATTCACCCATTTTCCCTCATATCTTCCATGTTTGCTGCTAGGTTTTCCTTTGACATTGCAGACCCAACCACTTCCTCAGCCCATGGCTGTCTCCTGCTCTGAGCCTGCTTTCGGGACAGATTCTTGGAAAAGTCTCCGCAAAGGACTTTTTTCTCTCCAAGAGTTGCTCCCTATTGGAAATGAGGATTTACAAAACTTGGAACAAAGTTCCTTGGTTTTTAACTAGTTTACTTTCCTTAGTCATGACCTTCAAAGTCACTGATAAGAAAACAGCATGAATGGTTGGGTAGAATAGAAAAGACACCAACTCGAAATCTAGCAAAGTCTACATCTGCTAACCTACAGAAAGCTTTTTTATGTGTATTGTAAATGTTAAAGAGAGAAAGAACATAATATTCTATTTCTCCACTCACCTTTCCTGGCTGACCAGATTAACAGCGTGGTATTAGTCACAGCTCTGCCCTTTCCAGTTCACTGTGAGACAGTAAATTTTAAGACCTCAGATTGGTTTCATTACTAAAAGGCAAGGACTTGGGAATGTACTTCAAAGCCTTATAATTCCTAGGTCATTAGTTCGGTGTAGACATCTCCAGACAAAACAGCTCTTATCATCTTCAACCTGCAAAGTAGGCGTTGAGTTGGATTATTATAATTATTAGGAAGTAAATTTTAAGGGCTCCGCTGTCAGAGAAAAGATCCTTAGAGCTTAATTTCAATGTACCCTAGGTATTATGCCTGTTCTGAACAAATCAGTACCTAAAGGTGACCTTGTACAAAAGATAGGCCTTGTATTAAGTATCTGTATGCTCACTTGATTTACAGTGCAATTAGAGGCAAATTATTTTATCTAGTTCCATATTTCAAGGAGTGGTTACAAGTCCAGCTGCTAACCTCAAGGTCAGCAGTTCTAAACTACCAGCCAGTCTGTGGGCGAAAGATGAAGCTTTCTACTCCCATAAAGATTTATAGCATTGGAAACCCTATGCAGGGTCACTATAACTGGAACTGACTACAGGACACATCACCACCATATTTCAAGTGGGGCACTTGAGAAACATGGGACTAGAGTTTGAATTTATCTAACTCAAGAGGTAGTGTTGTTGTTCAGTGTCATCCAGTTACTTCTGACTCATAGCAACCTTATATAGGCTTTCCAAGGCTGTAAATCTTTACCAGAGCAGAAAGTCGCAAGAGGTAGTAATGAGTACATTATTATAAAATACTCGGGAAAAAATAGAGTGTAAGCTTTATAAAGAGTCCTGGTGTGACGCTGTGGGCTAATGCGTCAGACTGCAAAGCCGTTTGAATGGCAAGGTTGGCGGTTCAAGCTCACCAGCTGTTCCTTGGAAACCCTATACAGGGTCGCTATGGGTCGGAATCGACTCGACGGCACGTAACAACAACAACAAGCTTTATAATTTCAAATTAAGAGCAGTGCTAACACATACTAATAAAATGTCTGCCTTAGCTTCAGACCTGACTTCCCCTGTGGCCATGAAACTTTTGATCCTTTCACAGTTTACCAAGGATTAAACATTTCTTAAAAAATCATGGAGAAAAAAGATAGTGGAATTTTCCCAGAGACTTTTTGAAGCCCTCTAACAGTACCGACTCAATGGCACCTAACAACAACAGTATTACCTTTTGGAGTTCTGGTGTGGCACTGTGGGCTAATGCGTCAGACTGCAAAGTGGTTTGAACTGCAAGGTCGGTGGTTCTAGCTTACCAACTGCTCTTTAGAAACCCTATACAGGGTCACTATGGGTCAGAATTGACTCAACGGCACGTAACAACAGTATTACCTTTTGAGTTAAACTAAGCAGATTATGGAAGACAAAGAAGCAGATAGTTATAGATGGGAATTTCAAATGTTCAGCTGCAATTAAAATCTGCCTTTGCATTTGCATTACACAGTAATAGGCAGCCAAATGTTAAGTATCTCTTTCTAACTTAAAATTGATATGGTACTTAAGTTTGATGATGTAGAAAATCTAAAGCCTGTTTGTCATGGTGAAAATAATTCTATGAGTCATTCCAAGTGTTCAGTTTCATTATATTTCCTTAATCCTTTGAAGAATGGTAAGTCACCTGTCTTTATACATTGGGTTGTATTAAGGAAACCATTGCTTTAACTATAATTACATGCCTGTGAAAGGGTTGCTCATATGAAGATTTAAAACATGGAAGATTGCTATGTAATTTATTCTTCCAGTTGAGCAACCTAAATTCCAGCGTTCCTTAGTTTGTACTCCCAGTGAAAAGTCATTTAGTACTTGCCAAAGAGCCTTAAGTAAACTAGAGACAGGGAAGTCAATACAATACTTAACATTTGGCTGCCTACTGCTGTGTATAAAAAGGGGTGGAGTAGCACCTGATTTATGTATAACTTTGATTGCCAAAAATGAGGGCAATAGTGCATGAAGTTTGATTATACAGTAAGAGAATTGATTTCCCAGAATGCCTATGGGCTTAATCTTATCAATTTACAGTGACACTGTGTGAGGATATGGTCACATATATGTATTTACATTAAAGCACTTTCAGCTGTTTTTTATGAAAGTAACACATGCTGTTTTCCATCAGTACAAAAGAATATGTCATACATTGGCTACCCAAAATGGGGGCTACAAAGGCAAGAAGTGACTGGCTTACAAGCTTTCAAGAGGGAGCCTAGATCCAGAGGGTGTGAAGGAAGGTAGAATCTCTACTGAGTAGTATCCAATCTGTCTGGGCGGGGCTGATGAAAGGAGATGGGGATAGGACTCTTGTGGTACAATAGTGAATAATTGCTGTCAGGACTGACTGTGAGGAAATGTAAAGGTAGACATCTTGTAGCATGAGGAGAGGACTTTGCAGTCCAGGCGTAAAGGTCCCTGGGACCATCAAGGGATAAAAGTGGAGTGCTGGACCCTACCCAGAGAAACAGTGAAGGCAGAGATGGAGGCAGAGACGATGATGTGGAGAGATGGAGTGGCTGGACTCTAGACCCAGAGAGGGAGAGGGGCTGTTTGCTGATGACCAGGGGGAAGGCTTGCGGGATATACCCTTTGGTTGGTTGATGATGCCTGGAGGGGATTGAAACCATGGCAATGAAACGATACACGATAGGATGAATGGAAAGCTAATGTCCTCCCATGTAAACTATCATATAATTTCACAATAAAACATTCTTTTAAGTGTCATGTAAAAAGTTCATACATTCTGCTTAATCCCGTCTTATTCTCAATGATATACCCATTGGTAAACTCAGTGTGTATCCTTTCAGTTCTCTGTAACTGCATCCACCCCATTTTCCATGCATACTGATTTACAGTTTATTTTGCTCCAGTATCTCTCAAGCAGGTTTTCATATATACCAACCAAAACCAAAAGCGACTGTAATCAAGTCAGTTCTGACTCATAATGACCTTAAATAAGACAGAGTAGAACTCCTCCTTAGGGCTTCTGTGACTAAATCTTTCCGGGAGCAGATAACCTCATCTTTCTTCCATGGAGATGGTTGGTGGATTTGAAGCATTAACTTTACCATTCGCAGACCAACACTTAACCCACTGCAACATCAGGGTTGCTTTTGCATTTAGTTCTTAAGTGCCATCTAGTCACTTCCAACTCGTAGTGACCCTGTATGTTGTTGTTAGGTGCCTTGGAGTTTGGAACCAAATCATAGCAACTTTATGCACAATGAAACAAAACACTGCCCATTCCTGCACCAGCCCTGTATTCAGTGTATAGGGTTTCCAAAGAGCAACTGCTGGATTTCAATTCTCAACCTTGCAGTTAGATTAGCCATCCAGTGAATATTCTACAGTGCCACGCCAAGACTCCCCTTTTCATATATTTGTGTGATTGTTAAGTGCCATCGAGTCAGTTCCAACTCATAGTGACCCTGTATAGGGTTTTTGAGGAGTGACTGGTAAGTTTGAACCAGCGACTTTGCTATTCATATCAACCTTGAGATCCAATACTTATGCTGCAGCTCTACACCAGGACTGCTTCTCATATATGTTGTTGTTAAGTGCCTTCCAGTCAGTTTCTACTCATAGCGACCCTTTACAGGGTTTCTGAGGAGTGTTTGTTGTTGTTAGTGTCATCGAGTCGATTCCAACTCATAGCAACTCTGTACAGGATTTCCAAGGAGCAGCTGGTGAGTTTGAACCACTAACTTTGTAGTTCAAACCAACCTTGCAGTCCAGTGCTTTATCCCACATTTGTCTTATTCTTTTTAATAGCTGCCTAGTAGACCATTAAGGAACTCTGGTAGCGTAGTGGATACAAGTCGTGCTGCGAACCTCAAGGAAAGCAGTTTGAAACTACCAGCTGTTTCGTGGGAGAAAGATGAAGCTTTCTGCTCCCGTAAAGGTTTACAGCCTCAGAAACACTATGCAGGGTTGCTATGAGTCGAACCAACTCCATGGCACACCACCACCACCGCCAGTAGTCCATTGGCAAATTGGTGGTACTGTAGGCTAAGCACTGGACTGCTAATTACAAGGTCAGAAGT